AGCTAAGTTTTATATTTACAATTTTATTATTTTAATATATTAAATTCTAATATGTAATACATAGAATATAAAGCTCTCAGATTTATTTTGCTAAGAGAAGATGATAAATTTGCAAAAGAATATATTTGAAAAGTTATCCGGTAATGAAGGGACCCCGGATATAATTTTACAAATTTTTACACACAAATATGGAGATAAAAATGGTAATAATTAATGACAATTTGTGAAAAATCTACATCTGTATGATACTTGTATAATTCATTGACAACATAAAACAATAATATATAAAAAGTTGCTGATTGATTCGGTAAGATGCACTGATAAAGATTGATTTTGAAGATCTCCATCGAAATGATTCATGATTGTTTCATGATTATTGCAAAAAATTAACATAATTCGTAACTCGTTCCAACACAATTGATAAAGAATAAAATTTTGAAAACTGCACAATATTGAGTTACACTTACAATTATTCGCATGCAAAATCAGCACATAAATAAAATACGTACACAAGAGACAGTAGTATTTAACAAACGGGATTAAAAATTGCTCATAAAACTAAGTAATAGATAGGTACAATGTACAGACAACGGTCGTATCGGCATAATAACAGATTAGTTCATCTATTATTTTATATTGTCCGGAAGTCAATAGTGGCTAAAAAAGTTTATTGCAGTGAGTGAAATCATTCTCTTTACTACATGTGCGTTTAAAGGATCTAAAACACTAAAATCTGCTCGCGTGGTGCGTCGTTATGCACAATAATAATATTTTCTACTTACACATCGTCTAAATCTTCTGTAAAATGTTTCTCATATTTTATCCCGTCTAATTTTTCAGGGAATATTTCTTCGGCATAAATAATAATATATTTAATAACAATATTTATACAATTTTGACTAATAACGGGATCGTAATTATCTGGAATATTTATGATGGATGGTCCAAAACAAACAGCTAAATTATTAGCATCCATCATATTTTCGTCGGCGTAATCACTCAGGCTGAAACATAGATTACAATTTAATTTAAATGTATCTCTTTTATACTTGCATGTAGATAAATAATACTTACTGGTTAAGAAACGAAAATAAATATCGTAGCACGATAATTATAGATTTTGGTAAAGTGGAAATTAATTCTTTTAATTTTATAATAATGTCATTTGGAGAATTATTTTTCGAAATATCTATTAATTTTTCAAAATAAATTAAAGGGAACAGAGGTTCCCTTAATTCTCTAAGATATAATTTTAATAAACCGGCAACTGAATTAATGTCTGATGCATCAGTAATATAAGCAAGGGGATCTTCTCCTCGCTCAAACGATTCTTTGAATTTGTAAATTTCAACCTGAGAACCAGATACACGAAAAATGCCTTGATGATGCATTCCATATAAATTAATAATTTGGATACAACTTTTAATAATAAGAGGTATTTCCTCTTTAGTCGCATATAAATATTCTTCTAATGATCCTCCAAATAATTTAGTTTGTTTGGTTGTTTGTAAACGGCCAATTTTCCTGCGCGTCTTTTGTTTTATCATTGGAGCAGTTGGAACAGGACTGTTATTCGAATCCAGTAAATGTTCTTTAATATAATCTTGTTTTGCTTCCAATCGCGCTATTTTTGAAGTTGCTAATAAATCTTCTCTAAATTTCCGTAACAAGAGATACATTTATCTCTTTCCTTCCGATTGCTAACATCAATTATCTTGACCCAACGTGGAAACTTAATTAGTCCATTTAATTCAACGATAAGCAAGCGATGTATTTTCCTGTATTATTTTCCTCGGATTTAACATCTATTGCAAACTGTTTGCGATACATTTATTGTGCAGCAGAATTATAACAATGACGCGACACGAATAGTATTGTTATAACTATGATATATTTGTTACAACATTTATGTAACAATATAGTCGTAAACTATAAACTGAGATATGTTATGGTACCAATGTGTGCGTCAGTAAAGTATTTATTATTATACTAAATTAGAATCACGTTCTAAGTTAGTTCTAAATTAGAATAAGAATAGAAATAAGACGCACTGTGCGGTAATGTCTATATACGCATAAACATTTGTAATTTTAAGACGTTTCAAATGTATTAAAGTATTAAAGTATGACACATAAAAAAATATAGTAGTTGTACACTATGTAGAAAATAAGAAGTCAATAGAAAATTAAATATTTTACATTATATGAATAATAACAATACATTAAAAGGAACATTGAAGAAATGTATTTGCACAAAATAATAAAAAAACAATGGAATAAATATTACAATTAAAATGTAATTCTCTTTTGTTAAAGGCAGTTCTATGTTAGATGCCAATTTTGCAATGCGCGTATCTTTTAAAATTCACAAATTTGAATTTATTTTAAACTGTGAGTTTCGAGTATTTCCAACCAAAATCTATTGATGTCCGAAATTTCAAACAGAATATGTAAAATCCTGCCTTTTCGGAAACGCAAATACATTTCTTTGAACCACTCGAGAAAAAGAATAATTAAATTATAATAAATGTGAATAAATAGCGCGTGGAATAAAGATACATGCAAAAAGCTTGTGAATTATTAATGTTTGCAGTAGCGGTACGAGCGCGGTCAAGGACTTGCTCTCTCTCGTCTCCGCGAAAACATGTTTCTCACATGGACTGTATAATTAGAATTAAAGTATAGTTATTACAGCATACATACTGAAAGTGTCCTTGTGTTTTTCATTTTTGTTCCCGATCCATAAATATAGGACAAATGTACTTAAGATATTTAATTTACTTATTAAGAATTGTTCAGAAAAATATTCAGATTTCTCATTCAGATATATGATGTTCGTTGGAAAACGTTTTACAATTTGGCACGTTAGAGAACTAAGGAGTACGATATTGAAGTTTTAATTTACATGCTTTTAGAAGTCACTAATTTTCGAGCATTATCAAAATATCGGATAAGCTCGTATTAAATTTTACTTGTGTTAGCGATCGCATGAAAATCATTACTTATATTACCGTCCGTTCAATCATCGTTTATCTGTCAACAAGGCCGATATTTGTTTTGGTTACATAGCTGTTTCTTTCAAAGTTCTAAATAAGCGCTCTGTGCCCCTCTCGAGCCACCAAGGCAAAACCAAGCAGCGTATATAAAGCGCTTCCTCGATTCCGGAGCCAGAAGTTCTTTGAATTTGATACGAAGCGAAAAAAGGGAAATTAAGATAGAAAACGTTCGAAAAGTCGCGAGTGTTCGATCTCAGACTCACATAAGGTGGTCTTATGTAGTGAATTTATTAGAAATAAACGCATTTCTAAACTTGTAAATTTGTTGAGTGCAACCGGACATTTTTTCGCGACATCTCTCGATATTCTATTGCCTTCTCCAATTTTCCGTTTTTCTGCCTATCTCTGTCTCTCAGAGTTCTTGCTCACTTTCCGAGATTGTCGTTTCGCGCAGCGGACGACAACAAGTTTTTCTATCTCTTTCTATCTTACGTTCCTCTCAACGTTCTCTATCGCTCTAATCCGCTACCTAATTACCGCAATCGACACTTGCATTCATTCAGAGTGCTTCCAGTGCCTCTTTATTAAGTTCCAACATATAAACCAGCTCCAGCCTTGGTTTCGCGAACAACTTGAAATATCCATATATAAATATCCATATATGAATATTCAATAGTTAATTATAAGCTATATTTTGACTGAATACTTTTTTATTATTATACATTAGAACCGAAATGTAGGTATTATTTTGGTCTATTTTTTAAGAAATTCACAATTATCTCTTTTTCCAATGAAGTAAGACTAACAAATATATCATTCTCCAATAATGTCGACCATGGCATATGTTATCAAGATCATTATCCAGAATAATGTTTTAACGATTTTAAAGTCGGTTATTGTTTATTAAAAAGTTATTAACAAAAAAGGTTTACTGAATGCAACGTAATTTTCTGACACCAGTTAATGGAACATCAAGAGACACAGTCATGTCTCGCGTCAAGTTCATATGCTGTACATACCCAATAAACATTAAGACATTCTATATACGTTCTATATTACGTCTTGTAATATAGGGGGGGGGGGTTTGATAACACATCCCATCCAAGCTGCAACAATTTCTGGCGAGTGACTAAAGATGTATGTGGTCTAGCATTGTCGTAAACAACACAGCTTGGATGGGATGTGTTATCACACCCCCCATATTCCACTGACCTGGCACCATCAGACTATTACTTATTTCGTCCCTTACAAAATTCCTTGAACGGAAAAAAATTCGATTCTAATGAGGCTGTTAAACGGTACTTAGATCAATTTTTCGCCGATAATGACCAGAAGTTCTATGAGGCCGGAATCATAAAGCTACTAGAAAGATGGCAAAAGGTCATTGAATTAAACGGACAATATATCATTGAATAAAGTTTTTGCTTTGTATGAAAAAATTACCTTTTATTTACATAAAAAAAAAAAACGACATGACTTTCTTGCCAACCTAATACATCTTTAATATTATTAGCCGCCTTTTGCAAGTTTTATATAATTCTCATGATTAAATATGTAAATATGTAAATATGTAAATATGTATATGTATAAATTAATATTTATGAATATTGTAATGTCACTATGACATTATCAGAAAGTTACAGTGATATTATTAGTTACAGTCGTGGTGATATCATCATAATATGACATAAAATGTCACCTCAGGCTCTTGAACCACCATTCGAGGTATAAATTTTCCTTAATGATGATGAATTTTTAAGCGCCCCACTTGGACTAAAAAGGACCAATCGACTTTTCCGTAGAAGAGGAGCAATACTTATAAAAGCCCGCGTTAGCTCTATGACTTCATCATTACTAGTACACTATTCTTCACACAGACGTTTCCTTCAGTTAGCAATCAGTTCGCTTCTATTCCGCTCAACAGACGTCAGTTAGTTCAGTCAGTTATCCATCGGTTCGGTTCTGTGAGAGACAAAACTGTTAAGTGGTAAAGTACTCTGTGCTACCCAGTGCCTAGTGTATTTGGATTTTTTTCTTGTTTCGTGCGTGAATTGTCCAACCACCTTGGACAATCAGCGGGTAATCATCCAATCAAAAACACAGCTCGAATTCCTTGGAAGGACCCACCTAATTTTTTCACGTCACTACCAGCACCAGCAATCAGTAAGTTTCGATTGTTCAAAATCTTTTCTTTCTTTCCCCGCGCTCGTAAGGCAACCACTCAGTTTTCCTTTTCTTTTTTTTAGTGAATTTTAATGTTACCTTACCTCCTCGACCCGCTTGCCGTGCACGCCCGACTCGATCTTTAATTTGAAGGAACGTATTAAACACTGTAGGATTAACGTCGCTTGCATCTTCTTATTTAAGGTTTAGGGCACAATTTAACTGCACAATCCACACATAGACCTCACACCATACGGTCCTCTCCTCTCCCCTCACCCGAGCCGTCTCCTGAACCGAAAGTCCCACCCACGAGAGATCCACCCTTCCCCGATTATATTGATCAAAATATTAATCAACTTCCCGATGAACTGCTCCTCCCAGATTTCCATGAGAGGCCCACTCGCCGTAACTCTCCCATAAGATACTCCTCTTCTCCGCCACCTTCTTCCTCTCTCGGCTTCCTCCCGAATTTCACAACCATGTAAATTTTTTCTGTCCTCACAAAGAATAACACCCACATACACACACACACACATACACGCATTCGCATACATATATATATATAATCAAGAAAAATTAAATAATTAAATAATAATGTTATCACCAACTCATTTTTTCTTACAATTAAAACTGTTTTAAGTAAAACTGATAT